AGCACAAGTAGAAGTAGTAGTAGTAGTAGTAGTAGTAGTAGTAGTAGAAGTACTATTAGTAGTAGTAGTAATAGGTAGGTAGGTAGGTGTGTAGGTGGGTACGTAGGTAGGTAGGTAGAAATAGAAGTAGAAGTAGTAGTCGTAGTAATAGTATTCGTAGTAGTAGTAGTAGTAGTAGTAGCAGTGGTACGGGAAGTAGTAGTAGTAGTAGTAGTAGTAGTAGTAGTAGTAGTAGTAGTAGTAGTAGTAGTAGTGGTAGTTATGGTAGCAGTAGTCGTCGTGGGCCGTAGTCGTACTAATAATATGAGTAGTCATGGAAATACAAGTAGTAGTAGCAGTGGCCATCGTAGAAGTTATAGTGGTAGTCGTAGTAAGGTGGTAATTGTTGTAGTGCCAGCACCCGTCGTAGTGCGAATACTGGCAGTAGTGGTAGTCGTAGTCGTAGTAGGGGCCGGAAGCGTAATTGTTGTGCGAGTACTCGTTCTAGTAGTAAGCATCAGGGCGGTAGCAATAATAGTCGTCGTAATCGTCCTAGTGTATCGTAATCGTATTAACAATGGTAGCCGTAGTGGTAGTCGTAGTCGTAGTCGTAATCATACACGTAGCCATAGTAGCAGTAGCACAGGAAGTAATAGTAATAATGGTAGCAACACTAGCAGTCGCAGTAGCCGTAGCAGTGGAAGCCGCAGCAGTAGTCGTACTGGCTGTAGTAGCAGCACTCGTGGTAGTAGAAGTAGTAGTAGTAGTACTCGTACGAAGAGCAGTAATAATGGTAGTTAGTAGTCGTTGTAGCAGTAGTAGTCGTCGCGATAATCGTAGTAGTGGTAGTAGTAGTAGTAGTCGTGGTAGTAGCAGCAGTAGTAGTAGTAGTAGTAGTAGTAGTAGTAGTAGTAGTAGTAGTAGTGGTAGATGTTGCGGCAATCGTAGTCGTAAAAACAATAGTGGTGGTAGTACTAATTCAAATAGTAGTCGTGGTCGTAAACATAGCAGTAGTAGGAGGAGGAGGAGGAGGAGGAGGAGGAGGAGGAGTAGAGGTAGTAGTAGTAAAGAGGAGTAGTAGTAGAGGTAGTAGCAGTAGCATGGTAGCAGTAGCAGGAGGAATAGTAGCAGAGAGGAGTAGCATAGTAGCAGTAGCAGGAGGAGGAGTAGTAGTAGAGGTAGTAGTACTCGTAGTCGTAGTACCCGTACTAGTATCAGTCGCAGTAGTAGTCGGACAGGGTGCAATAGCAGCACCAGTGGCAATAGAAGTATTAGTAGTCGTAGTAATAGTAATAGTACAGTAAAAGTGGTGCTTGGTAGTCGTGGTAGTAGTGGTGGTAGTAGTAGTTGTACGAATAATGATAGTCGTCGTCGTAGGCATAGCCGTAGTCGTAGCCGCAAACATCCTAGAAGTGGTAGTCGTAGTAATAATAATCGTGACCGCAGTAGCAGTGGGAACACTGCAGTCGTTCTCGTAGTGACACTTGTAATGGCAAAAGTAGTCGTAGTATCAGTAAATGGTGGAAATCATAGCAGCAGTAGTAGTAGTAGTAGTAGTAGTAGTAGTAGTAGTAGTAGTACTAGTAACAGTAGTAGTAGTACTCGTAAACGTAGTCGTAGCCGTAATAGACGCAGCTGTAGTCGAAATCGTAGTGACGTTAGCGCCAGTAGCCGCAGCAGTGGCAGAAGTAGTAGTATCAGTAGTAGGTAGTAGGTAGTAGGTAGTAGGTAGTAGGTAGTAGGTAGTAGTAGTAGTAGTAGTAGTAGTAGTAGTAGTAGTAGTAGTAGTAGTAGTAGTAGTAGTAGTAGTAGTAGTAGTAGTAGTAGTAGTAGTAGTAGTAGTAGTAGTAGTAGTAGTAGTAGTAGTAGTAGTAGTAGTAATAGTGAAAATCATATGCGTTGTCGTCGTGGTAGTAGTCGTAATGGTAGTGGTAGTGGCACTCGTAGTGGTGGTAGTAGTAGTAGTAGTAGTAGTAGTAGTAGTAGTGGTGGTAGTAGTAGTAATAGTAGGAGGAGGAGTAGTAGTAGTAGTAGTAGTGGCAGTAGTAGTAGTAGTAGTAGTAGTAGTAGTAGTCGTAGTAGTAGTAGTAGTAGTAGTAGTAGTAGTAGTAGTGGTGGTAGTAGTGGTAGTAGTAGTAGTAGTAGTAGTAGTAGCAGTTGCCGGCTTAGTGGCATTTGCACCAAGAGTAATAGCAGTAGTATTAATAGCAGTCGGCGTTGTCGTAATTGTAGCCGTAGCCGTACTTGGAATAATACTAGTAGTCGTCGTGGTCGTATTAGTATTAATAATCGTAGTAGTGGTAGTCGTAGCAGTAGTAGTGGTAGTTGTAGTAGTAGTAGTAGTAGTAGTAGTAGTAGTAGTAGTAACCGTAGTAGTAGTGGTAACAATTTTAGTAGCAGGTGTTGTAGCAGTAGCAGGGGTGGTAGTGGTAGTAGCAGTAGTAGTAGTACTAGTGGTAGTGGTAGTAGTAGTAGTAGTAGTAGTAGTAGTAGTAGTAGTAGTAGTAGTAGTCGTAGTAGT